ATTGCATAATTTCTCGGGAAGCCCATAGGAAGGGAGCTTCGAAAGAAGCGCTTTGTGCCAAACCCGATCGAAGGCCTTCGCAATGTCCGAACTAACGGCCAATGCCTCCCCCTTGGACTCTACTGCCAACGCCCATCTATGAGTTAAGTAGACCAGAAGATCACCAGCTGATCGACCCCGACGAAAACCGTACTGGCGGTCACTAATCAGCTGGTGATCCTCAAGGTACCGCATGAGGTGGCAGTTTACAACGGATTCCATTATTTTGGAGAACAAGGGGGTAATGGCGATAGGCCTGTAGTTGGACGGGTCTGAGCGGTCGCCTTTTTTAGGGATCGGGTGGACAAAAGCTGTCTTCCATGATTTCGGGACTACGCCTAGGGAGTAGGAGTACCGGAAAAGACGCGTTAGAACCGGTGCCAACTCCGGAGCACACGTCCTCGGCACAATTGGGGGGATTCCGTCAGGCCCACTCGACTTGTGGATGTCAAGGGAGAGGAGTGCTCTGCGAACCGAGCGCTGTGAGAACCGCACATCAGGCATGGAGCACTCACACCGCGGGATGGTCGGCGGTGTGTTCCCCCCGTCATCAACAGTCGAGTTGGACGCAAAAAGGGAGCCTAAAAGGTCGGCCTTCTCTTTTGCGTCGTGGGCCAGTGAGTCGTCCTCCCTGTGCAGAGATGGTAGTGATGGCTTACCCTTTGCTTTTTATTCCCTTGAACAGCCTTGGCGAGAGACCAGAATGCACGGGTTCCCGAAGGAAGGCGTACTAGTTTCTCGCCAATTCTGCCTATGTGCTCTGACTTTGCCTTGGCAATAACTCTTTTGAAGGACCTGGAGGCGAAGTTATACTTCTTTTTGAGCGTGCTGGTGTTTACATCCCGAGTCACCGAAGCTGCAGCCCAGGCTTGATAACACTCCTGCTTACTGCGTAATGCAGTCTTACAGGAGCGACCAAACCAAGGCTGAGATCTGCCTCCGATGGGTACCACAGATGATGGAATAAATAGTTCCATTCCCTGTAGCACCACATCAGTGACAGAGTCAGCAACAGCGCTGGGATCGTCCGGCGAGAAGCAAACCCGCCCCCATGGGTAGGATGCAAAGAAAGACCGCATTCCGTCCCAATCCGCCGACCTGTAATGCCAAACACGGCGGCAACCTGCAGAACGCAACCGCGAGGGGAGCGTGAGTGGCACCACACTCCGGATCAGACAATGGTCCGAAGAGCCAAGAGGGGCATCGACGGAAACCTGATATCCGTCCGGATGAGAGGTCAGCAGAAGGTCCAACAGGGAAGGTGTATGATCCTCAACATCTGGAATCCGCGTAGGCGATGTAACCAGTTGTGTCAGACCATATGCCAAGGCAAAGTCATAAACAGATCTCCCCGCATGATCGGTTAAACGTGAACCGAGCCATTCGGCGTGGTGGGCGTTAAAATCGCCAAGGATCACGATCTCTGCGGATGGGACCTGTTGTAGCAAGGAATCTGTAGCCATTTGGACGTGGTCGATGAGTCGGTCTGTTTCGGCATTACCGCTATGGGACCTATAGAGGCACACGTAGACGCGCGGATGGTCGTCGCTGTCTACGCGTAGCCAAAGGATGGACAGGTCCGAACCTTCAAGACTGCCGAGGCGTCGAGAACAGATGTCCTCTCTGACATACACGCAAACTCCAGCCCGAGGCACAAAGGAATGCTCCAATTTGTACCCCGGGTAGGAGAGATACGAAGTATCAGCCGGAGAGGACACCTGCGTCTCGGTCAGAAAGAGCAAGGCCGGCTTCGCCGTCTCAAGATGGTAGTGGACGGTGTTTAGGTTCAAGTGAAGTCCCCTGATGTTGCAGAAATTCACGGATAGCGTGGCAGGGGTCGCCTTGGTCTTGTTGCTCAGTTTGCCCCGAGCAGTTATTGTGTTGAGCGGAATTTTGCCCCCCCCTCCCCCAGAATACGCGGGGCAGCCTGAGCACCCACGCTCAGGAGTGGAATAGCATGGTCGTGGATGCTCAGCGAGGGATTCTCCAGGGATACTGGTACCCTCCTGGGGTAGTTTATGACGTAATTCCGCTACCATGTTGATGGGGGGGGGGGGGGGGGAAATTGGGCCTCCGGTCACCTGCACTCACCAGACGAAACGCGGAAGCAGAGCTTCCACTTCATGCCGGTATTCTGTGAGGTCGTGGTACTAACCCGGCTTGAGCCGGCCCATACGTGCAACAGCAAAAGCTGCTGCAAGGCTCTACCACCGAGTCCTTTCCGATCGGCTCGACTCATTGGCACTGCGAAGAGATGTTGCATCTCTTAGCATTTTCTTTCGCATTTGCCATGGGGAGTGCTCTGAGGAATTGTTCGGATTAATCCCAGCCGCCAAATTTCACGAACGCACATCGCGGCAGAACTCCCGATACCATCCACACCATCTGGATGATTGGCGGTCCACCACTGTGCGATTTAGAAGATGTTTTCTTCCTCGCACAACTTCCTTGTGGAATAGTTTACCGCCAGCGATTTTTCCGGACCGATAGGACTTAGGGACCTTCAAGAAAAGAGCCTACTCCTTTTTAAAAGGCCGGCAACGCATCTGCAATTCCCCTGGTGTTGGGGTTGTTCATGGGCGGCGGTAGTCACTTACCATCAGGTGAGCCGCATGCTCGTTTGCCCCCTCTCCTATAAAAAAAAAATTACAAAATGTCTCTTATTTCAGTGTGTCTTTCGAGAAGGGCCTCCTCCAACTCTTTCCACTGTTTTCTGTCTGCTGCTACTCTTATCCAAAGGGGTCCTAAGGTCAATTTTAGGTCATCCTCCCATCTTCTTGATTTACGACCTTGGCTCCTAGTGCTGTTCCTTGGGTACCAAACTGTTACCTGTTTGCTTTTTTCCTTTTTGCAGCGGAGCATATGTCCAGTCCATCTCCATTTAAGTTGATCAATACGTGCCAGTATGTCTATTAATTTCATTTTGCGCCTAATGTCTATACTTCTTACTTTGGCCATTAGTTTTAAACCTAACATGCTTCTTTTCATGCTTCTATGATATCTTACTAGTTTGTCCCTATGGCGTTTTGTCAAAGCCCAGGTTTCGCAACCATATGTAATGCAGGGTAGGATGGTTCGGTAATCGATAATCGGTAGGTATCGAAAGTTTTCTTCTTGATCTTCATGCCCAGTTTCTTGCTTTTCATGATTTCTTTCAAGGCGCAATACTTATTCCACCCAGTCGCAATTCTTTTGTCTATTTCTTTGGACATTTGGTCATTTGGCGATATTATCTGACCTAGATACACATATTCCTCTACATATTTAAGGTTCTGTCCGTTGATGGTTATGTCTATGGGTATTGAGTTGGTCATCATTTTTTTCTTGCTTATGTTAATTTCTAGACCTACTTCTCTACTTCTGTCTACTAGGGCTAGTATCATGGATTCCAGTGTAAGTGGTCCTCTTCCATTATAACTAGGTCGTCTGCAAATCTCAGATGACTCAATCGTGTTCCGTTTATGTTTAGTCCCAGATGTGACCATTCCAATTTCTTAAACAATTGCTCAAGCACTGCTGTAAACAGCTTTGATGAGAGTGGGTCACCTTGCCTGACGCCCCTATTGATTGGGAAGACATCTACTGCAGATTCTAGCCTGGTTCTGGCTTTACTTTCACTATAAATATTTTTGATAATATTAACGTAGGCATTTTGGATCCCCTGCTCTTTTAGACTCTGCCATACCGATTCGTATTTAAGGCTATCGAAAACTTTGGCATAATCAATGAAGGCCAGGTAAATGGTTTTGTTGTATTCATTGTATTTCTGTATGAGCTGTTTGACTGTATGTATATAATCAATTGTACTAAAGTCTTTCCTGAACCCCGCGCAAGAACGGTGCATACTTTGATTAATTAAATATATTTTATAAAAAATAATTTATTGGACTTTATATTCATTCCGTACAAAACGCTAATTTCATATGTAAGGACCTAATAAACAACACTTGACGCGTTTAGTTGCGACTGATTTTAATTTCAGATGTTTTTTAGATTACAATGTTTCATCATCTTCATCATTCCATCCCTTTATAAGTCAACAGCTGAAAAAAGGCCTCCCCAATTAATGCCACATTATACGGTCCAAGCCATCTGCATAAATTAACTTCCTTCATATCTTATCAGGTCGTAATTCCATTTAGTAGGCTGACCGCCTTACACTTCGATCATAGTCACATAGTTTAATTATTATTATTATTATATGTTACCTTACTTTAGGGTTGTATACAGACTGCCTCTAATCTATATCGTTTGCCTAGTTGTCGTCAGCGCGACTGTGAGGCAGGAAGTTGATGGTTTTTACCCCTGTACCTCGGAAAGCACGTAAAGCCGTTGGGCACCTGATCTCCCTCCGGGTGTGTCGAATTACCGTCCCATCGGATTATGAGTGTGAGAGAATAGAGAGTGCATCTGTGCTTGCGGAGTCACTTGTGATCTATAATCTAGTGCTATACAGATAGCTAGTCTCCGTTGAGATTCCCGTGCCGTGTCCCGTCCGAGTCGTGAGCTCTTCTCAGTCGGTGCGGCCCTGGTTCTTCACGGTATTTTTCAAGAGAATATTTTATTTAAAACTTCAAGAAATAATTTGCAAGGAGTTGTCGTAAACACGTCTGACTGACCAGACATCCAGCGGGAGAAATGTGTGTATGTGTGACTGGCCGGTGACATTTCGGCCGTCGGCATCAAGCGGAATGGTGGGTTCGATTAGCACGTTACCTCGTGGTTACCCATGGGGCCTCCGGAGGCTATCCGTAACGTTCGAAGCCGGAGCGTAACTGAAATTCGCCCTGGGGGACATTGTTATTATAGATCCCTTAATAAAACTATGCAATAGTGAAATAATACTGGGTTACTGTCTCCTCTGCCATCAAAACTACTCTAAGATTGTACTCCTTTTATATTTCTTATTTAAAAACGCGTAAGTAATTAACATAAGAGTTGAAACATTCATTTCATTTCAGCTCAACAATGGCCGCCATAGGCCTGTATTTGATATCAACCATCTTTGCATATCCTCTTCAATGCTACCCAGCGATTCAGATATTAATGGAGGTAATCAAAAACCATACTTCAAGAACTCCTTCTGAGAGCACTTTAGAAATGATCGAATACTTCGTAAGGCCATGTTTCGTGACGATAACTTGTAAGTTGATTTATAAGTCATATTACTTAATGTTTTATTAGATCATATGCGTAGATAGAGAATTGTAAATCTTACAACTCTCAAATTCAGTTTTATTTTTTTATTCAAAAAGTACAACAATATATTTTATGTCTGTGTGCTACACACTTTATCTTTGTGTTATATCATTACAGTTCATACCGTAATATCATATGAAAATGCCATAGATATTGGAATCTGGTAGTGGTATCTATGGAAAGTATCAATACTACACTAAGTACATTTTTTTAACTTTGCCTTTGACGTAGCCACGTAGCGTCAAAGATTCCTACTCACCGACTCGACATTAACTCCCTTTTCCTCAGACTCCGACCAAAATCAACAAACGCGAATAACTTGGTAAGCAAATACTGACATGGTAGTCCTACTTAACGAAACCTTCCTTCCTGTTTATGTAATATTGTCTTGACCTATTTCTATAACGGCAATGACTTTAAAATGCTTTACGATGTAAATGTAAAGAAAAACACACAGCTACTGATTTGGCCTATTTAGACTCTCGTCAAGAAGCGCCTTATAATATTCGAGTAACGTGAATTCGAGTAGTATCTTTCAGTCTCATTCTCATCACAGAGTATTTTTACGGCGCCTCCAGACTTACACCGAGAACCCCCGAGAACACCCGAGAAGCGTGGATTACCATGCTAATACACGGTATTACCACAAAACTCATTTTCACAAAAAATGCCAGTTTTATCAGTAAACCCTCGATTTATTTTCTATTTTTTAATGCAGTTAACTACAAAAGCGTGTTTTTTTTTGGAACGAAGTTCTTTTACACCGCTTACAGTAGATTGAACTGGCAGAAATCGTAGTTGTTTTATGAATTATTTGCAAATCCTAAGGATCCTGGCAAGGCTAACGGGACAAACTATTTAAATGATTGCATTTTTATCAGTCCTTGATAAGTGTGCAAAATTTCAAATCAGTCCGACGTTTCGAAGGGGATGAAAATCACATTCAAAAATTCCGTTACACAGATGCGTATACTAAGCTAATAAAAGCGTGTTAAAATTCTTCTGTCCGTGTGCATGTGACTGTACTTCTCTTTAATGACTGGACCATTTTTGGTGAAATTTTATATGTGTGATTAAGTTCATTTGAGAGTGGTTTAGATTCACAATTGGACCCGGTAGATTGATCTGTTGTCGAGATCCAGAAATCACCAGTGCGCAGCCGCGGCGTATCGCTAGGTACATATATTATAACTAGCTGTTCCCCGCGACTTCGCCCCCGTGTTATTTGAGGTTTTAATTTTTTTTGCGCGAATCCCTAATTATTTTTCTAAAATAAAATTAGCCTAAGTTACTCCTTGTGACATCAGCTATCTGCCAGTGAAAATCCCGTCAAAATAGGTCCAGCCGTTTCGGAGATTAGCCGGAACAAACAGACAGACAAAAACTTTAAAAATTGTTTTTTTGTTATTATTACCGTATATACTTTCATATGCATTTACTAAAAAGCTGTAATTTTGACATTAAAAACAGACACATCCATTTAATTTATTTGTATAGATATAAAATCATAAAATTAAATTACTAATCTTATTCTGTTTTGATGAATTTGCGTCGACCGCCATCATCTGCGTCTTTTTATTTTTTGAGTTTAACATTTACGAGATTTTAGTTTGCTCATGCACACAATTATCTCTGTCAATATCGTCCATACCGGGTATGATTGAGAACACAAGTGAGAACATTCGTTCGCGACATCCGCGAGATATTTATATATTTTAATGAGATTTTTTTACATAGATTTTTTTTTAAATAAAGTTGACAAACTTTTTGTCTGAGTCTGTACACGGGCACTGGAGGCATAGATATTATAATAGACTCACTATTATAGTATCTCTGCCACAATTGTTGGTACGGAAAAATACAAGGGTCTCAACAGTCTATGTATATGACAACTCGTTTTTTAAATACAATTCTAAAGTATAATTACGAAGAACAATATTTTATAGAATTATTTTCATAGACTTCTTGGAATATTAGATGCAAAGGTGGTCGCTTGGTGATTATAGGCCAGGAGAACATAATCGTCTCTAGATGAAACTTAATTTACCAAGTAAAGTGTTTATTAGTTTCAGTAATTTTTATTTCTTTTTCAGTTCTGGTTTGTTACCTAATACCATTTCAAGCTCCATTCGTTGCTTTTGTTGGAAACTTCTGCACATCAATGCTATCGCTCGTCTTCCCTGCGTTAATGGAGCTCTGCCTATTGTATCCCGGTAACTACGGCAAGAAAAACTTTTATCTAATAAAGGACCTGATCATCATCACCTTAGGCCTCGTATGCTGGCTGTACGGCATTGTGCTATGCGGTTACTTTATTTACGTCCGCGTTCTGGAGAAGCTTTCGCTAAATAATATAGATTATTTTTGAAATAATTTTTCTTTGAATAAATATATTTTACTGAATTATTTTTTTTTACTTTAAGTGTAAATATACTGACAACTAAAGCGTCTACCATTAACGAAAATGAAAAAGTTATTTGTTAATATTATTGTTTAAAATTAGCTACTCTAGATGTTTTAATTAGGAATGGGCCAAATATTCGTTTCATATTCGGTATTCGGCGTATTTGGCAGGTTTACCTAATGTTTGTATTCGGCCGAATATTCGGCTAAATCACCGAGTGTTCGATAAAGTAGTTAACTGTATTGAGATGTGTGTGATTGAGCATGATTGATAAATGCAACGTCTTACATTGTTTTGTTGTTTTTATTAGGTAAACAATTTACTTACTGTGTAGCTTTATGCTTTTAAGACACAAGTATTATTTCCAAGAACGGCAGTTAAAAAGATAGTTATCAAAAATTGTCCGATTGTTTTTAAGTAACTCGATTTAGTAACTTGATTTACAATGAACTCTTTAATTTATAATGCTACCTAACCAGGTATTTATTTTGTGGAATGAGTAGCGTATTTTTTATGTTTTAATCAATAAATATTTATTAATCTGTGAAGTCGGGAACTTCAGGCGGGAACTTGAACGGCGACGGATTGTATTATTGTTAAAATAATAGTTTGAAGTGGATTTTGATATGTAAGAGTGGTGCGATTTTGTGTATTAAATGTCTGCACATGTGAACTATTAGTGGAAATGGTGAAACAAGTGCTTCGATGGTAACGTAAATCTCAAGATAAGATGTCTGTCTGCTTATTGAGATACTATCGACAACTGTCTGCTGGCTGCAGTGTGTTTCGTGCTTAAAACATCTAATTTGTACGGCCTGTAAATTGCACCTACACTTTAGGTGTGCCAATTACACCTCAGCTGACTTTCGAGAACATTGAGACTCCCTGATTCTTGAATTGTATCTTTTATGTGTAGTAGCTGTGCACAAATAACAAGAAGAAACCGAAACGATAATACTCCAATATCAAAAGCACAACCTTCGAAAATATCAAAGAGTCCGGGGCCTCAATTATATACAGAAAAGAGTCCAAACCATACTCCGAAACAACTGACATACGAGGAAGTCAGTAACTTGTTGCACACTAAACTTAAGGATGAAATTCAAAAAATGTTAACCTCTTTAATTTAATCCCAGAAAAAGGAACTTGAGGATATTAAAGTTAACCTTAAAGAAATTCAGCAAATCAACTCCAATATTGAAAATAATATTGCCCTCTTATCAACACAAAACGAGGAATTACGTAGAAAACTTAATGAATTAAAGATAAAAAGTAAACAAATACGAAAAACCATCACAATTTTGGAAGAAAAACGAGAGGATCAACTAAGAATAAATCGGAAAACAGGCATGGAATTAAAAAATGTTCCTAAAAAGAAGAATGAAACCAAAGAAGACCTTGTAGAAATGGTTGTTTGTTTATCGAAATCAGTAAACTGCGAGATACTAAAGTCAGATGTTAATGATGTTTTCAGAACCAGGGGAAAAATGAAGGAGAAAAGAAAACATCTATTCTCGTGCAACTTAACTCCACGATTCAAAAGACTGCCTTGCTTAGATCGTGTAAAATTTACATCAATAAGAATAAATCTTCAAAACTCCAAGCAAAACACTTAGGTTTCACTCGTAAGGAAGACACCCCGATCTTTGTCTCGGAGCAAATAACACCTAAGAGCTCTAGACTATTCTTTTTGGCAAGAGATCTAGTGAAAACTAAAAGGTTTCAGTTTTGTTGGACATCTTACGGCAAGGTGTACTTGAGAAAAAGTGAAAATTCACCTATCATTCATGTAAGAAATGAAGTAAAAATGTACCAGCTAATTTTGCATAACGAGGCATGACTATTACTATCTTTTATATCTGCATGTTTTTTGCTTTGTCTTTAATTTTTTGTTTAAATTGTTTACATTGTTACTTCAAAGTTAATTTATATTGCTTAAAAACTTACATTAAATACACAAAACAGACACAAACATACACAAAGAAAACTCAAACTATTTAATAAAATTATACGTTTAATAATAAAACCACATACCAGGTGTTTGTGAAACGCTCCCGAAAACAAAGACAGGCGATAGTACGATAGAACGATACCTTTGATCATGGGCAGGAAGAAAATTGATCCCGAGGAAAAAAATCATTTTTTCACAACGTTTTATTAGTTTTATTCACGCTCCATCATGTTAGTACAGCTAAATGAAACGATAATTCTATTAAAAAAAAAACATAAAAATACTTAAACATAAAACCAGCAGTGGAACTTAAATGAAATCAGCTGACAATAGGGTTATTGACCCTATTGTCGCGCGGAATGGACGCCGAATCCACGCAGCCCGCAGCTATACCTAATTATTTACCTAGCTTATCTACTTAACCTACTATTTTGCCACTGTGCTAGTCTCCACCTAGCCACTTTAATTCGAATTCACAGGTTAAATAAACCAAATACCTGGTTCGATTCCCCGCTAGTGAAAAATGAAATTTTAACAACGATTAAGTCATGCTTTTTTATCCATCGTGTAGGTATGTTTATTATTCTGATGTATTCAGTTATGTACCTATTCAGATCAGTTCAGTAATAAGTTATTAAAAAAAATTAGGTATGAAACAGCTTACCGCTCTCGGTGTTGCGTCTCCTCATGCAGGCGGGTTTTCAACCAGGTTTCCGCCTAAACGAATTGGAAATTTGTCCATCATACTATCCCTACGAATTTCCTCAAAATTACATGTATGAGGATACATACGACAATTATTATGAAGATGAATCCATACAAGAAAATTCTATGAGAGAGAGAGCCGACGAAAACGATGATTCAGAGGACAATGACATGTCTGCACGGACTAAAAATTTTCAAGTAAAAGCCTCCGAAAACCACCCGAAATAATAGAATTGAATTGCGACATAAATCTAAAACTACCATACATATATATACCAGAAATAGATGCTAATTTTATGATAGACACAGGAAGCACCCGTTCTTTTATAAGCCCCGATAAAGCACATCAATACTACCGTAATTATATAACAAATGAACCCTTTAAAGTTATAAGCACTCATGCATCTAGCGAACACAATCAGGTAATTAAAATTCCACTATTTCCTATATTTCAAAGTAATGACGAACATAAATTTTATCTTTATAACGTCGATTCACGCTATGATAGGTTAGTTGGGAATTTATTAAAGCAGTTGGAAGCTGTAATAGATTTAAAGAAACAAGTACTTACCACAAATTCTTCTAGAATAGCTATAATACACAATAGCTTAGAATATGTTGTAATACTTCCACCTCGTTCTGAAGTTAGAGCAAAATTACCTGCTAACATGTTTTATGGCGAAGGAATATTAAATTATACCCGATTCAGTGATGGAGTGTGCATGCCTTCTGCATTGGTAAAAAGTGAGAATGGCTATGCCACTACAATTATACAAAATACGTTGGATCAACAAATGGAACTATCTATTAAGAAACCTTTTGAAATTTGTGAATGTGTGGATGATAAATCGTATGTAAATTCTATAGATCACTCTGATCTAGAAACGGACCAGTTATTGCTTGAAAATTTAAACAAGTTACTATTAAACCATATGAATGAAGAGAAAAGACATAGCATTCGTAAACAATGTAAGGAATACAAGGATATATTTTATTGTGAACAGATACCTTTGAGTTTTAGTAATCAGGTTAAACACTTCATTCGGACTAAAAACGAGGACCCTATATTCACAAAACCTTACAGACAAGCCCCCGTACAAGTAACAGAGATAAGCAAGCAGGTCGATAAACTTCTATTAGATAATGTAATTCAGGAATCTTTCTCCCCATGGAATTCTCCCGTACATCTTGTTCCAAAAAAGGCTGATGCTTCAGGCGAAGTTAAATACAGAATGGTCATAGATTACAGAAGACTAAATGAAATTACAATTGATGATAAGTACCCCCTTCCAAATATCTCAGACATTTTCGATAAGCTAGGTAAAAGCACATAATTTTCGACACTCGACCTGGCCAGCGGCTATCACCAAATTGAACTTAATGAAGATGACCGACAGAGAACTGCCTTCAGCACCCAAAATGGATACTATGAGTTCTTGAGGATGCCATTTGAATTAAAGACAACCCCCGCCACCTTTCAAAGGGCTATAAATAACGTCTTAAGAGGTTTGCGAGGAATCCATTGCCTTGTGTACCTTGACGACGTTATTATCTTTTCCGCTAGTCTACAAGACCACATGGAGAAACTTCGTACAGCTTTTGACCGACTTCGAAAGACTAACATGAAAATACAATTAGACAAATCTGAATTTTTCCGAAAAGCAGTTTTATATCTTGTACACACCATAACTAAAGACGGATTGCAACCAAACGATGACAAGATTAAAGTAATACAGAATTATCCTCTTCCTAAGACAACTACCGAAATAAAAAGTTTCCTTGGGCTTGTTGGATATTATAGAAAATTTATAAAGGACTTTGCAAAAATCATGCACCCCTTAATGTCGTGTTTAAAGAAAAGGAATAAGATAATTGTAGACCAAAATTATATAGCTTTTCATAAATGTAAAGAAATATTGACCAGTGTTCCACTACTACAATACCCGGATTCGACTAAACCGTACATATTAACTACTGACGCTTCGAATATAGCTCTTGATGCAGTATTGTCACAAGGACCAATAGGGTCAGATACAGCACAATAGAGCGTGAACTTTTAGCCATTATTTGGGCTGTAAAGCATTTTAGGCCCTACTTGTACGGACAGAAATTTCAAATTTATACAGATCATAGAACCCTTGCTTGGCTCTATTCTCTTAAAGAGCCTAACAGCAAAACTAACACGCTGGCGATTGCGTTTTCAAGAATACGATTTGACAATAGTCT